GGGGGGGGGGCTAGGAAGTCATGGAAAAGTCAACAGTTGCTGAGTACTCATTCAGTGGTATCCCTAGAATGATGAAAGATTTTTTTAGTGTAATACTTTAGTATAAGTCTTTTTACTGAATCAATTATATAAAAAAATAAATTAAATTAAATTACCACCCCCCCAAGAAAATGCAGGGTTAGTAAAGTGTTTCTTTAGTGCATACTATCTCTGTTCAGTTCATTTAAAATAGTAATTCCCACTGACCCTCAAAAGCTGCGCTCCTTTCTACTTCAAAGCTCCACATCCCAGCTGTTCTACGTTAGCCATCACAAAGGGTAATTTTTGAATTCCTCTGCTATTTTTCAAGTGGGTTTCCTTTTCTAACACCTCCACCTCTGTTCTTTAATTGCAGTTAAGTGTGCACAAGAGTAAACGTCTCCTGTGTGTCTTTCATTGGGAATAATCAAGATCCAGTAGTGGATGCAAGCTTGCTGTGTTAAAGACTACTGTGTATGCTTCTTTCCTGTCAGAATGTCAGGAGTTCCCTCTTAAGAATTCCTTCTTCTGGCCACCTAGACCTGCTAGAGGTAGACTCAAAATAGTGACATCTTTCTTTCACAACAACTCTCAGTCTTCCTTAAGCCTTGGAGTGAAACCTTGAAGACGACCTTTCCTCCAAAAGTGAGTAAGATCTTCCTCAGTTTTCTCTTTCCCCTTTCCTCTGGAACTTCATTTTCTTTCTGTCTGACTAGCAGTCTACCAGCAGGGGAGAAGCCATCTTGCGTCTCCAAGCCTTCCCCTTCCCTTATGAATCCTTCTTGACTTTTCCTCTGTTTCCAATTATCTTGACCACAACCAGCCTCCTTTAGCAATCCTTACTCAAGCTGCTTGTGGAAAAAGAAGCAACAGTGGGAAGTGTCTGTCTAACAGCATCCAAGCAGAAGGCTGAGGTGCTTCTTCTCCAAATCACTCTCCAAATCTTAGGGCTAGGCTGAAGGAAGAAGTCATTACTGCACAAATGAATCACAAGCAAGTGAGTCTACCTGCACCTCATATGATTTTACCTCATTTGGATCCTGATGAATGAAGAATGTACAGTATTTATTTCTGCCCCTTAATGTTTTAATATTTTCCTCTTTCTCTCCCATTGCTCACTTTCCCTCTTCCATTTTAGTGTTTGATAGAATATATACATTTGCATCCCATTAAGTGAACAAGGGATTCATAGCATGATGGTATAAACCAGCTGTTTTCTTACTCACATCACTTATTTAATTAAAAGAAAAAATGTGAAACTTCAAAATATTACTTTACATGTCAGAATTCGACTTTCTAAATAATAGTCATATTTTTCCTGGCCAATAGAATTCTCTTTCCAAATTAAATTATTTTTCTAGAACTGTTATATTAATTAGCACTATCAAGTTTCAGAATAAGAGTTGAAACCATCTTCATGCTCAAGGAGGAGATATATATTTGATAGGCAAACCTCACTACCAACTCAATCCCTATCTAGAAGCAGAGATATGAAGTTTCCTCCAAAATTTCATCAGCCAACTTCTATTCACCCAACAAAAGTTTCTCTCATCCTCTTAAAATTGCTCTGGGAGGGGTGAGGCTTCAGACTTCTAGAGCACATTTTGGGAGCACAGAGTTGGAGAAGACGTGTCTATTAACAGATGGATGGAAAGTACTGGATTAAAGTAGAATATTAGAGCTATTGTTGCTTGGGGTATATACATGTGTCTTGTTGTAGAAACCTGTTTGACTCTAGAGAGCTGGAGATGGTGGGCTCATCTGGCATTTTGACAGCATGTCTTAAGCACTCTTAAGCACAATTCCAGATGTGCAGTGGTTGCCACTGGAAATGCTATTTACAAATGTCTTCCATATTGGGTGTGATCAATCATCAAACACCTATTTACAAGAAGGTAAAATGTTGAAGTTAAAATGATGCAGCAAAGAACCATGTATACATATGCTTAAAAAAGGTAAAAAGTTGTTCTCAACTAAAAGATTTTTAACAAATTAAAAGGTCAGGCAGGCAGGGAGACAAAGGCATCATTATGAATACCCTAGATAGAACTCACAAGCCAATTATTACTCTACATGACATTTCAATCAGTTTGAAAATTATTTCTCCCCCAAAGTCAGAAATTGACAAAAGAAAAACATCATAATTGTTTAAAATAAATGTGAAATAGAGAATAAATCCATATAGATTTTATTTGTTAGAGAAAGCATTTTGGCTCCTACCTCAAAGCTCTCACATGCTAATTTCGGCCCTTCATTCAGAGAAATTCTGGACTCAATGTCAGTTACATCATCTGACTTTACTCCTAGGTTCTTCATTATCTGCTGCAAATTCTTGATGTGCAAATTCAAACTTGTGAGTTTATCTTCCAGAAGTTTTACCTCCTTTTCAAAAAAAAAAAAAAAAAGTACAAAAGAAAAGTTATAGAAATTGATCAAAATGTCAAAATCAAAATATTGTGCAATAGTATAGTGATTAAGGTACTGGATTTGGATCAAGGAGACCTGTGTTCAAATTCCCACTCAATGTGCAGCTATATCATAGTATCAATCATCAGGCAAATATTGTTGGAGGTTTGTCTTTTTTTTTTTTTTTAATAAATCCAGCCATTTTTGAAACAGCATAAAATCTGTCTGCATTACTGTTATTACAGCACAATAGTAGTTATATGATTCCAGAAGATGCTGTAAATCACTAGTGGGATTGCAAACAAAGTGATCTTATGTTTTCAGTCAAATTTGAACTCCTCGTGACAGCTCAGTGCAGTCCCGGGTTTCAGCCTGTGTTGTGTGTTAGTGGCAGAGACATCCACACACTCACAAGCCCTGATTCCCTACATGCCTCCACAGTCCTCTGAAAACTGAGCATGAAGGCCTGCAATGGGGTTGTAAAAGCGTTCAGCTGAATGAACTTCCCAACCTCACTGCAAGCAGGATCTCTGCTAAGGGTGGGCTCTCAATCTGGCAAGCTTCTTGCTTCTGCTGTCAGACCTAGCGCCTTCATTCCTGTCCAGGACTCTGACCTAACAGGCAGTCCTATGACACCTCCCTACAGCTACAGGTCTCACCCCCTCCAGATCTTTACAAATTGATACATAGAGACTGGAAACAGTCCCCACTGTTGCAATTCCCACCCCAAGAGAGATGTGGGTCAGCTGATAAGCACTCCTTCCAGCTGACCAATGGGGAGTACAACCGTTGTATCAAGCTTGTACTAATCCCTATCTTGTCTTCAGTTCTTCAGTTTGCTTGGTTATGCCAGCTATTTCTTCAAAATCTAAGAGGTTACCAGAGGGGAAGTTTGAAAGTCACTTCTCTATTCATCTTAAAATGAGTCCAAGATACAATGCCAAGGCACCAAAACCTCAACAGGTAGAACAAAGGGCTGAAAGGTGGAGTTCCCACCAATGGGGAACTACCCATGCCAAAGCTGCTACTGAATGAATGATCTTTTCAGGGACAAAATCTGATTGGCTCTATTGTTCAATATTGGAGATAGCATCTGATCGCAAAGCCACATAGGTGGTTATTGAAGAACAGTGAGATAACTTCTGTCTTCTGGAGAATAAGATGCCATACTAGATGAACCTATGGTCTGATTGTCTGAAAATAACTTAGAATTTCAACCTTGGTTTTCCAGACAAAATTTGTAACAGACTGCACTTCCAGCCAAGAATAATTTCAGCAAGATCTGCTAATGTTCTGCATAGTTTTTAGAAAAATAATTAGTTTGCTTTTATTCAGCAAATGAACACTTGAACATGACTGTGACACTTGGGCCTGTCAAAATTTATCAGCCAACCTTTTAAGTAGCATCTGAGTCATTTACCTTTGCATGTTCCTCCTTAACAGCTTCCAGGTCAGCATTTAATTGATCTATTTCTTTTTGAAGGGCTTCTTCATTAGTGCTCCTAAAAATAATAACATATTTCTTTCTTTACATAATTATTTTGAAATAAAAAACACAAAGTTTTTGTTTAACACAAAATTAGTAACTTCATTTGCTCTTTGTTCTGTATTTGGTAATGCAGATACTAAGACTTCTTGGTACTTTCCAAATATGTGCGACAACTGCTATCGCTCTCAAGGGGATAGACTGTGATTCCACACATCTGGAAGGCACTAAAATAGAAATTTGATCACAATTATGTGCCATCAAGTAATTTTCAACTCCTAGCAACCTCATAGATATATTTTCTCCATGACGATCTGTCTCTAACCTGGTCTTTCAGGTCTTCCAACAGTGCATTCATCATCACTGTAACTGTATTCTCTAAAATAGAGAAGACATCTGTAAAGAAGGTCTGTTAGAAATCAAGTAACCAGCTGGAGAAAGCTGTCATATCCTACAAGTATGATTTTCACTGAATTCTGAGGGCTAGAAGGACCAAGGTCAGATGCAGAAAGCTGAGGCTAAATGAGTCCATTATACTAACAATCCAGAGATGTAACCTCTGGTGGAGGAATGACTGGTTCTTAGTCCATTAGGGAGAAAATGAAACATAAGATTTGAATACTGGACTAATTATGGGCTGATCTATACCTCCTGCTTGCACCAGGACAAGGATAGGCCATCTAGGGCTTTGGGTAGGTAGGAGTGGATGGTATTATCCTCAGCTTGCCCTGAAACTGCTAAGAAGGCAATGTCTCCCAGAGTTTTCTTGCTTCACATCAGAAATTGTTCTTTCCCCCCTCCGCCCACTGGTGCAAGCCTGCTGAGCTTCATTCCATCTTACAAAAATGCCTTGATTCCAGTTGGCTGGTGTATGCCCACTCTCTCCTTTTGACAGCCGTTTTGTACTGGGCTGCTGGCTGTTTGCCATGAAAGGACAGACCTTGAGGTTATTCCCCATTGGTTCGGCAGTAGGGAGAAGCTGGACATCTTTTTGTTTACTTTTTTTCAGCAGACTCAGCGTGGAACGAGGGCCATTTGTTTTGGTGGCTGCTGTTGGTTTTTTTAGCTGGTTGACATTAACAAGAGTTCTGCCCTGTTTTCCCTTCCATTCCAGTTGACAAGAAGAACTGTAAAGCTGTTTATCACCAGTAGTCAGGGGACCTGCCCACAGAAGGGAAAACAATCTGTTGCTTTCCTGCTGTGGTTGGGAGGGGAAAAGCAGCAGGGGAATCCATCAATCAAGGTCTGTGTTCACTGCAGTCTAAGCAGAATGCTTGGCCGTCACTGTGGCCAAAATGGAGACAGGATCGAAATCCAGGAAAGGATTTCCTAAGCAAGCTTCATTGTCACCCATTTTTGCTCAGGAGACAGGGAACTGAAGGCTACAGTGTGGAAAAGCTCTGTACCCATAGCCACATGTCTTTGAGGCTTGTCGTTGGCAGTTCCTGTTTTTCTGCTGTAGTTACAGCTTTGCTAACATCTGTAATAAAACTAGTTCATCAAAGAGCAACATCCTTGAACCATTTCCTCTTAGCCTTCTTGGGCGAAGCCCAACATTCTCAGGAATCATGCATACGACTGCATGCTTGTTAACCGATGGGCGGGGGGTGGGGGGAACCACAGGAGTTTGTGCAACCCATGCCGAGTTATACTTCCATTATTAAAACATGCCTGAGTGTGGGAGGCTAGAAGACTAACAAGGGCGATGTCAGTGCCGTATTCCACATCACCCAGGATTAAATAGAATTTTAAAAGGTCTTGATTTGTATCACTGAAATACATGCAAACATTGAGCTGTACCCCAAGTTTGCCAACAAAGGGGTTCTTCTGGCAGCAAGAGGCTTTGGATCTGGCACAGCTTTTTTATAGACTGAATAAGGTGGAAGCCATTTTCATTGCTGTCCCCTGCAGTCCCTGAAAATCATGCCATGAAATTATGGGAACCTCTACAGCAGAGTTTCTCCATCTCAGCAACTTTAAGATGGTTGAGGAATTCTGGGAGTTGAAGTCTATGCATCTTAAAGTTGCTGAGATGGAGAAACCCTGCTTTAGAGAATCCAGGTCTACTAGGGTGACAAAGGGAGGGGGAATAGGCAAAACCTGTTTCCCCCTTTCTCCAATAGGAGCATTCCACAAACAATGAAATTCCACATGCAATCAAGCATTGCAATCAGTAAGAAAATACATTGCCAATTTTCTTCTCTAGCACTAGTAATTGAGAGCAAGTGCAGTGTGGACATTAAGGCATTGGACTTGGGCTAGAGAAACTGAAGTTTAAGTTTCAGCTCCATATCTGAGATCACCTGGTAATTTTGGGCCATTCTGGGTCAACCTATCTCACAAAGTTGTTGTGGGAATAACATTACAGGAAACCCTGCAAGCCACCTTCAGAAGAGATGATATTGCATTTATATTGTAAATAATGGTCTTCATTACATTTATAAAGTAAATAATGTCCTTCAAGAAAATGGGATCTAGCTTCTTTAGATTCAATATCTCCTTTATCCCAGTAACATATAAGCATTCTGAGGCCTCTCTCCTTGTCGGCCTCAGGGTAAATCCAGATATGAATCACAACCAGATGAGGTAATTCTATTTTATTGTAAAGCTACATTGACAGAATCTTGCAAGTCTGAAAGTACAATTCTCCCCCCCTCCCCGGTTTCTTTTACAGCCTGAGAAACTAGGGAGGGTCTCTTCTGAGCCTTTTGCCCTGTCCACTATTGAGCTGTGGGCTATGCTGTCTCTTATCTGGCTGTTCCCTTGGCAGCATCTCTTGGCCCAGTCTCCCAAGGTCTTTCTCACATACCATTACATTCCTTCATTACAATACTGTATAGCCTAGATATAGGTTTCTTAGTCTAAGAAACTCAGACTAAGAACACTGTGATTTATTTATAGCATTAAACTTTGCCCAGTTCATAGGCAGCACTGCTTTATAGACCCATATAATGTAGCACACCTGAAGTTCAAATTTTCAAAAGCAAGAGCAACAGGAAGAAACCATCAGTACTAGGTTGATGCTCTTGAGAATGTGTTGGAGAATTTCTCCTTCTTCTGGAATAAACTATGGAATTTTAGTGAATAAATTTGAACGGCTGTTTATGTCTAGGTTTAGGTAACTGTTCTGGAAGCCTTAGGGGAGCTTGAAAGTAATGATGTTTTGTTTAAAAAGGGCAAAGCTGTAATGATCACCATTAAATCAATGAATGGCACTATATGCTTCATGTTTACTCAGAAGCAAATTGTAATGTTCAGTTAATGCTAAGAAAGTGTTACTTCAAACTATAAATGAAGTTACTTCAAAATCTCCAAATGAGCACCAAAATAAAAGATTTTCTCCAGTTCAAGCTATGCATGGCAGTTCCAGACCTCTTTGCTTGAATTACATACAATGAGGGGAAGATACCATTTTTAAAGATAGATAGATAGATAGATAGATAGATAGATAGATAGATAGATAGATAGGAACAGAATGCAAATTAAACCCACTGTTTTACTATGGAGAGACTAGCCAACTGGGTTGTGATGCTGAGTTTAGTTGTTACACATAAGCTGGTAATTGTTTTCTGAGGCTCACTGGATGGCTGGCAGCAGACACAGCACTGTTAGTCAGGACCACAGAGCTTCTACAAATTGTATCCCTATAAATTGTGTAGTATGTTTCATGTATGTGCGCTAACAATATCTCAATTTTTCCTGTTCTGGAACATTCTGTTTTGCACAGAAAGTTTTTTTCATCCTCACATTTCCTGCCTTCTGTCAGGAAGGCTTCTTCTCCCCAAGCCCGTACACCATCAAGAGAATGTCGTCAAGTTTATGTCTAGGCTCAGAGTGGCTTTTGACATAACACAAATGTTGGGGGAAATAAATACAGTGTACAGGTATATCCCACATACACTTGTATTTCCAATTCAACTGCAGCTCCATCTCATCTGAAATAGAAGTTCCACATCTCACAAAACTTTTCTACTATAGAAGATGTTTGGTTCCTAATGCATAACATCTGTTTTGTGCATCTTTTTCAAGGAAAGGAAACACAGAGCTCTCTCAGTCAACTGGTTTCTTATACTGTTAACAATGACAATGCTCCCCTTTAACCATCTACTGTTGTATAACAGTCAATGTCTGTGGTAACTACATCCATTAATCATGCCTGCTGGATAGCTAACATGATCAGCTGGTATCCACTTGAGATGCCATTCATGTAGTTTAGTTTAGAATGGTGAAGGCTCTAAATAACAATTGTATGCTAAACAGCTACTTGTGACCCATAAAGGTGATAAAAAAAATACATTTTTAAAATTGAATACTGATGAGCATGTCACATTAGTAAAAAGTAATGCTTTCTGAGAACGCCAGAAGCCTTGTTCAAGTAGTGATTATGGCTTGCTTCTTTGTGACATCATCTCTGCAAGATTAATGTTATCTCTTGCAGGACTGCTATATTTTTTTCAATATGAACATAGTTCCAAGATTGGGTAAAGTCTTATTTAACTGCCAGATCTAAAATATATAACTTAGAACCAAGTTTTAACTGACATTTGAGAAAAGCAAGCAGATTAATCATACTAGAAAGCCAAGCTAGAATATTTTACAAAATCCTTTTCTAGAATCAATTTATTAGGCAATAGATATAAAATTATTATACATTCCTTGTGTGAAAATTAGACATCTCCTCTTACAGTGGACTTTCGATTGTTGCAAGTATCACAATTACCCAATTTGCCCAAATACCACTCAAATATATTATGGGAGAAGATAGATAGATAGATAGATAGATAGATAGATAGATAGATAGATAGATA